CCAGCCGCGCCGCCCCCGCCGCCCCTCCCTGGCCCCTGCGCCTATGCAGCCCATGGCCGCGGGGCTCTGGCTGAGGCTGCCCGCCACTGCCTCCAGGACATCGCCCTGGCCCACAGGGCTGCCGCTGCTGCCCGGCCCCCCATCCCCCCACCAGTACCACAGCCACCCAGCCCCGTAGGGAGCCCATCCCAGCTTGCCCTGCCCAGGGAGGACGACAAGGAGGAGGAGGACGAGCTGACAGAGACGGAGGCCTCTGGGGAGCGGCTGGGCGTCAGCGATAACGGAGGTGAGAGGCACGGACGGCGGGGACCGGGTGGCCCTGTGCTTGGCAAGGTGCCCGCACAGAAGGTTTTCCGGGAGGGGTGGGCTGCTTATCTCTGAGGCTGGAAGCTGGAGTCATGGAGCCTGGGTGCCAGGCTGGCCCGCTGCCTGTGCGTCACCGTGTGACCTTGAGCAAGTCACTGTCCCTTCCTGAGCTTCAGTTTTCTTGCACTGCTGGGTCCAGCTCTGTGCCTCAGGCGCTGGACGTAGACACAGAGCCAACCTTTGGGACTCCGGGTCTAGCCAGAGAACTGGGGACTGTGCCCTGTAGAGGCCTTGGGGTTGGGGGTACGGGATCTCCTGAGCTGGACTCACGAGCAGAACACGGTTTATTTCAAATCAGGATGCCCGATGTCTATAACAAGGTAGGCGTTAACGGGGAGTCAGGGGATGCCAGCCACAGCTGAGGAAGCCAAGGGAGGGAGCAACGGGCAGTTTTAGGGGGAAACTCGAGGTTGGATACTTCCCAGAGACTGGACTGTGACATTAGGGTTTTGAAGAGGGAATAGGAGTTTGCAGGGGGCTCAATAAATAGGAGTTACTTGTTTGTTTTTGTCACTCAATAGCTGGCTTCTTCACTGTTGTGAGGAGAAAGCTTGCATAGGGTTAAGGGCACAGATTCTGGAGCCATATGGCCTGAGTTCAGATCCCATAACACCATTGATGAGCTGTGGGACTTCAGGCAGGTGGCTTAACCTCTCTGTGCCTTTAGGTTTCCATGATGTCAGGCAGGAATCATAATAATCTTATATTTCTCTCAACCTGTATTTTGAGTGAGTTCATCCCAAACAGACCTTACAGAAGGGGTGGGGATTGTCAGGCCCATGGGCTGTATAAGGCCCTAGAAATCACTTGGTCTGGCCCTGCCAAGGCATTAGGGGTGAGTTAATTAAATATTTGACCAAATATAGCAGGCTAATTTTTAAAAATATATATATTTTTATTGATTTCAGAGAGGAAGGGAGAGGGAGAGAGAGATAGAAACATTAATGATGAGAGAATCATTGATCGGCTGCCTTCTGTAGGCCCCCTACTGGGGACCGATCCCCCAACCCAGGCATATGCCCTTGACCGGAATCAAACCCGGGACCCTCCAGTCTGCAGGCCGATGCTCTGTCCACTGAGCCAGACCGGTTTTGGCTCCTCTAGGGGGCTAGGGCAAGCAGGCTAATTTTTAAGTTGGTAATTTTGTGTGGCCCGTGAGTGAGGTTATAAATATCCAGATGGCCCTTGGCAGAAAACAGGTTCTCCGCTCCTGCCTTACAGACTTGGTTCAGCCAGTTGCTTCCACCTGAGAGTGTAACAGAGAGAAACTAGATCTGTTTCTGCGGATGACCAGGCAGATAACCAGGGGAAGGGTGTTCGAGGCAGAGGGAATAGTATTCCAGAAACCCAGAGGTTTGCAAGGGCCTGGCCGATGCAGGGAGCAGCGGGGCGGTGGCTGGAGGAGGCGACCTGACTGGCTGGGCCTGTACCGCCGCGCACAGGGCTCTTTGTGATGGACGAGGATGCCACGCTCCAGGACCTGCCCCCCTTCTGCGAGTCGGACCCCGAGAGCACAGACGGTAAGTGTCCCAGCTGTCCCCACGCCCTGGGTGGGGGTGGGAGTGGGTGTCTGGGATGGAGGCAGGGGCAGAGGTGAAGTGTACCCTCTCTCTCAGACGGCAGCCTGAGCGAGGAGACCCCCACTAGCCTCTCCGCCTACGCAGTGCCCCCGGCCTCAGCCCTGCCCACACAGCAGTACGCCAGGTCCCTGCCTGTGTCCGTGCCCATCTGGACCTTCAAGGAAAAGAGGACAGAAGCACGGTCATCGGATGAAGAGAACGGGCCGGTGAGGGGCAAAGGGGAGGTGGGAAGGGCTCAGAGCCACCTCCTCCAGGAAGTCCTCAGACATGGGTGCCGCATTTCATAGGATCAGTCCTACCTCCCACCTCACCAGGCAGGTTCTTAGGCCTGAGCCATGCAGTGTTGACAATCACGGCCTCACAGCGGGTCCCAGCGTCTTGTAGAGAAAGTCTGCTCCCATTTCCAGCTCCATGTATAGAGTGCATGCTGCACGCAGGCACAGGGATTTGGGTATCCCCTCCAGCTGGGGAAACTGAGGCTCAGGGGGACCGATCACCTTACACACATCCTTGTCCGCTGTTCCTCCTGTTTGATCCTACATGTGCAGTTCCTGGGGTGGCCGGGGTGGGTCGTCATCGCCCATCACTGAAGCTGCTGAAGCAGTGGGGAAACCGAGGCACCGAGAGTACATATGACTTCTCCAGACCTCAGTCTGTAAGGGGCAGGACTGGAGCGGCACCAGCTTCCTTCTGGAAAGGAGCTATGGCAGGGGTGGGCAAACTTTTGACTCGAGGCCACAATGGGTTCTTAAACTGGACTCAGAAGAAGGAGCTGCGGCGTGTTTCCCGACGTTGCCATGTTAACACTGCTGCTGGTGAAGGAGCGGAGGGGAGAGCAAGAGAACCCTCTGCTCTTTCGGCTCCGCGGGCCAGATAGAGGGCTCCACGGGAGGCGGCCCTGGTCCCAGGTGGACCCTGCCGGAGACTCCTCAGTGTCTGCATTTATACTGGCGGGTCCAGCAGCGGCTGCCGCCCTGGGTACCACTGGTGGGGACACTGTTAACGAACAACGTTCAAGGCCTGAGCTCTGGGCCCTGGGGTGGTCTCTGAAGGGGTCTTTGTCGGTGGTCTCTCAGCCTGCTGGGGGCCAGGGACGGTAAGGGAGGTGGACCAGGTGGGGCTGCAGGCAGGATGACAGGACCCTCAGGCGGAGGCTGGCGGAGAGGGATCCTCTCTCCAGCCCCGGCCACGTGGCAGCCTGCCCTCCTGAGCTGTCAGTGTTGATTTTCTCAGACCTGTTTCAGAGGAGGAGACTGAAGCCTCCAGAGGGGGCGAGGTCCCTGTGGACAGCTAGGGGGTGCAGTAGCCTGACTGGCACATGACTGGATCCCCCACCTTAGAGTGAGACCCTCCTGGTGCACACAGCCTGATGGTCAGCAGAGGAGCAGCACTTGCACTGTGAGAAGGAACTAGAACGCAGTGGTCCAGGCCAAGGAGGGGAAAAGGGCAGGAAGGCTTCTTGGAGGAGGTGGTATTTGAACCGGGTAGGAAGGTCCTATATCGAGCAACACAGGGTGAAGGGCCTTGCGGCTATGGGCATGGCAGGGGCAAAAGTACGTGGAGGGGCCCCGGAGCCCAGGGTGCAGGCTGAGGTGGGACACGTGGGCGCCTTTGTGGGTGCTGACGCATCCATGTCGTCTCCGCAGCCCTCCTCGCCAGACCTGGACCGCATCGCGGCGAGTATGCGCGCGCTGGTGATGCGGGAGGCCGAGGACACCCAGGTCTTCGGGGACCTGCCACGACCTCGACTAAACACCAGCGACTTCCAGAAGCTGATACGGAAATACTGAGGCCCCGAGAGAGAGCCTCTGGCCCCGTGTCCGCCAGTCCTACACTACACCCCGCCCCCCCAGGCCCGCCAATTGGAGTCCCATCCCTTTCAGCCTTCCCCGCTTCTGTGCCAGGCGCGGGGCCTGTCCGTGCTCCACAGGCTGTCGCCCCTTTTCCTGCCCAGCGACAGATTGTTTCTATTAAGGGACTGGCTTGCTCTCCAATCGGGAGTGGCTAGTTCTAAACCCTAACTGGGTGGACTCGCGTCGTTTTCTGCCTAGCGACAAGGGCTTTGCTCGCACGGCATTGGCTCTAACCCTGTAAAGAGCGTAGCCAAAGCCCAGGATTGGGTGGTGGCGCTCCACTTCAGACGGTGAATGGGCACCTTTATTTGATTGGCTGGAACCCTGTAAAGGTCTACACCAATCTGCCAGTCACCACGGGCCCGTCCTAAATTCTTCTACCTGATTGGGTCCAGCCTCCTGGGGGCGTGGCCAAGCCCTTCTGTGCCCAGGATTAGCCTGTGACCTTAAATTTAGGTTCTTGACACTACAGGGGCTAAGGTTTTTTTTTACTAAGTCCTGACAGCAGGGCTCTGGCCCCTCAGGGATGGCCCGGCCCTGCCCTGCGCCTGACACTCACTCGGTCCATCCCGTAACAGCCTGCCAATCGGAAGCCCGTCCTTCCATCCAGGACGTCCCCGGCTCCCGCCCTCTCCCCTTCCCCCACAGGTGCCTTAAAGGGCCCTTGTCCACCCAAGGTGGGGGCAGGGGCCCTCACTCTCCGGCCCTGATGTCGGGGGGAGTTGGGGGGTGGGGATCGCGAGTTGGGAGGGGCGCTCTGAGATTAAAGAGTTTTACCGCTGTTACATGAGCTTGAAATATGTTGTGGGTGTTCATTCAACAAACTTTCTGAGGTCAAGTCAGCAGCATCTCATCGCTGTAAAATCGGGAGTGGGAATTGTTCCCATTTTGCAGGTAAAAAGGGACATTCATGCGGTGGGAGTCCTGTGGACCATGACCTCCCCCGTCCCAGTCTTAACGGGCAGGGAGGGGCTGAGTGTGGAAATCGGGATTTGAACCTACATAGTCCCAGCGAAGCCAGGACACCTCCCGCCGAGCCCAGCCCGGGGTTTTCTGCCATAAAACAGCTGGAGGTTAGGGAACCGGTGCCCCCGGCCCGAGGCAGGGCTGGGTCAGGCAGGCTGGTCCTCCGTGTGTCCTCAGCCACCGGCGGCACGCTAGTGGGCAAGCCTCACACAGGGCTACCTACCACCCAGACACGTATGTTGTTTACGTGTATTAACTCCTTGAATCTTCCCAGTAAGTCCACGAAGTGTAAACGACTGTTCCCACTTTACAGATGAGGAAACTGCAGCATCGGAAGTAGGGGTTCTGTCGGGGGTGAGGGTTTCTTCGACTGCCAATGATCATTAAATGGGGAAGAAAACTTCTCGCTGTAACTTCCCAGCAACGCGAATGAAAATTCGCCTTCTTGGTGGAAATAGAATCTGCAGCAGAGACTCGCCACCCCCTACCGGCGTGAGCCTCACACTGCAGCCGGAGAGACGATGGTCAGAGCGCGGAGGGACCGCAGGGGCCGGAGGGCGGGGAGGGGCGTGGCTTCGCCGCGGGCGGAAAAATGGGAGTGAACCGAGCGCGGGTGAGCGTGGGGGCCAGGCGGGAGCGCGCGAGGTCCTCGGCCTGTGCCCTGGGACATAGGGGTCCCCGCTCCCCGAGGACCACCCGGGCCTCCCCTGGGAGACGGCGCGAGCCCTGGGCCAGCGAGCGGGTCGGGTTTCCAGAGCTTCAGCGGCTGCAGGGAATTCCCGGTGGAGGGACGAGAGGAGGCGGGACTTCCTGTAGCAACTGAAGGCGACCTGCCACCCAAACCTTCACCCGCTTGCCCTTAGGCCGGCGCCCAGGATGGCCGGGATGGAAGCCAGGGGCCGCCTGTGGCTGGAGAGCCCCGCTGGGGGAGTGCCCCCCATCTTCCTGCCCGCGGGCGGGCAAGCCCTGGTCCTGGGCCGGGGCCCCCTGACCCAAGTTACCGACCGGAAGTGCTCCAGAAACCAAGGTAGGCAGGGGCGGGGCCCGAGCTGCAGGAGGTGTGGCCTGTTTCCGGAGCGGGAACACTTGGGGGAAGACGGACAGTCGGTTCAGGAAAGAACATACGTCGAGCCAACAGGCGGAAGTGTATGGTGCAGCCCGTCCTGGAGTTGGCAGTGCCTCTGGGGGCACAGGAAGAAAAGGCTGTGTCCGACCCGGGATGCAGGCTCCTGGGCGGGGCGAGGGGCGGCGGGGAGCCTGTCCCGAGACCGTTGTCAGTGGGCAGAGCAGGATGCTCAGGCCGCCGTGAGCGACCCTTGTCATGGAGGGAGCCCATCTCGTGGCGGAAAGTCCGTGCAGCTGAGCAGGGACGAGTGGTAACGGCCAAGCCCCGGCCCTGCACCTGCCACCGGTTCTCTACAGAACAATGCCCGCCCTGCCCCTAGGCCACGACCAGCGTCCCAGGCAATCCCAAGGCCCTTGTCTGGTTACTGCATGCCAAGGGGTGAGCCGAGCCCATTTAGAAATGAGCTGCCTCCTCCTCCTCCTCCTGAGTGGGTGCTGCAGCGCCGCCCTGTGGCCGGAAGCCGGCCGTGCTCCCGGGTAAGGAGGGATGTCATCCCGCTGGGACGCACAGCCTGACCCCACCCTCTCCACCCGCAGTGGAGCTGGTCGCAGACCCCGAGACGCGGACTGTGGCTGTGAAACAGGTACCAGTTCCCCAGCAATGTCTGCAGGTGGGTCGGGGAGGGGCCGGAACCCAGCGGGGAACAGCCTGTGGCTGGAAGGGAAGCAGGTGTGCCCAGTAGAACAGTCCCGAGGTGTTGCCTGCCTCAATGCAGCCGCCTTCTACATCAATTGGGTAACACCGGACACCTGCAACTTTTCCGAAGCCCTGATTGGTGGTGCACAGGGAAGAGGCTGGGCTTAGGGTCTGATTGGCATGTAGAGAAAGGCAAGCCCTATCCTGGGTTGATGGGGGTGGGGGGCGCGCGTGGTCCCAGCTCTTCCCTATTCCTTTGCAGCTGGGAGTTAATCCCTCAACTGCAGGGACCCAGGAGCTGAAGCTGGGGTCAGAGGGCTCTCTGGGCGTGGGGGACACGCTGTATCTGGTCAACGGCCTCTACCCGCTGACCCTGCGCTGGGAAGAGGCCCGCGTGCCAGAATCCCAGCCAGACACTCCACCCGGCACCCCTCCGGTGGCCCCAACCGAGGAGGAGGAGGAGGAGGAGAAGGAGGGAGAGGAAGAGGATGTTGCACAGCGGAAAAAGCGAATGCGGAAGTCATCCCCTGGCTGGGAGAGCTTCGAGAAGCTGCTAGTGTTCACCGCACCTGGGGTGAAGGCCCGGAGCAAGGTGAGGGCCAAGCTGGGACCTGAGGGCGCCACCGACTCCTGGGGACGCAACCCCAAGCTTGCTGTGTGTCCCTGGGCAGGTCACTCGACCTCTCTGAGCCTCCACTTTTCTGAGAAATGGACCTGATAAATTCAGGGGTTGTAAGCATTGAGGGAATCGATGTATATCCGCTCCTGCCTGATCCACGGTAACCACCCTGTAACCATAGCAACGATTGGGATTATTTTAGCAGGAGCTATTATGAGTATTTCTTAGGTCCAGAGAGATTCTAATCCATATGCTGTTACACCACGATGAGCCCCTTTTTTCTCACCAGTAAAATGGGGACTCCATGAAAACCAGGGGGCAGGGCCCGGTGTGGTTAGTACCTAAATAAACCTTAGCTTTTGTCTCCTTTGCGTGGTTGTTAGCCCTTCAAGGTGGAGGCGGTCAGGGTAGTAAATGAACTCCGTTGTAAAGATGGGAATACTGAGGGTGTAGGGAGAATAGGAGCAGTACAGGGAAGATTTCAGGCTCTGCATCAGGCACCGGGGATGCCCCCTCACTGTGCCTGTCGCTACGTAAGGTGTGTAGGCTCCCTGACTCAGTTTCCCCCCCGGTGACAGTGGTCACGGCCTCTGCCTCACAGGGTTGATGTGGACCAGCCTGTGCATGAGGGGGCCAGAAGTGTCACTGTTCTTTTCTTGGTGATGCCAGGTGGCCGGCTTTGATCTGGATGGGACCCTCATCACCACACGCTCTGGGAAGGTCTTTCCCACCGGCCCCACTGACTGGAGGTGATAAGCAGGACAAGGGGGTGAGTGAGGCTCCCTCGGGCCCCAGGTCACCTTGCCACTTTCCTGCCCACTCTAGGATCTTGTACCTAGAGATTCCACGTAAGCTCCGGGAGCTGGACGCCGACGGCTACAAGGTGTGTGTGTGTGTGTGTGTATGTGTACGTGTGTGTATGTGTGCGCCCGTGGGCCCCGGCTGTGGGGCAGGCTGGGGCACGGTGAGGGCACTGAGACACACACATCTGCTCCCTAGCTGGTGATCTTCACCAACCAGATGGGCATCGGGCGTGGGAAGGTGTCCGCAGAGGAGTTCAAGGCCAAGGTGGAGGCTGTGCTGGAAAAGCTGGGCGTCCCCTTTCAGGTACAGCTGCCAGGAGGCTGCATGGGGACAGAGCCCAGAGAGGCCCGGGTCCTGGGTGTGATCATGGGGAGAGAAACCTAGCAGAAGTGGCAAGTTTGGGGGCAGGGGGAGCGCTCCTGATTGGTGACGGTGGAGCCTCCTTGGGCCTGAATGTCCTAGGACTTGGGTGCTGGAGGGGGAATGGTGTCTGATCCCACCTGGTCCGCAGGTGCTGGTGGCCACGCATGCCGGCCTGTACCGGAAGCCAGTGATCGGCATGTGGGACCATCTGCGGGAGCAGGTGAGCCACGCCCCCCACCACTCTCCTGTCCCCTCGAAGCCCCACTCCCTGCCCGGCCTCCGCCCTCTGGGTCACGGTCCCTGGCACCCTCTCCTCTCCCATCGTCCCGCCTTCTCAGTGTTGGCTCTCTCAGCCTCATGTTGGCACGAAAAGCCAGTGATCTTCAACCGAGAAGCAGGGCGGTGGTCAGTCCTCAACCTGTTCATCCGACTGATGTCCCATAGCTTGGCCCCCTGCCAGGGAGGGTGCAGACGGTAGAACAGCGGAGGCAGCGAGGCCAAAGCCAGGGTGGAGGTCTGTCCGGTGCCACTGGATCGAGGGCTAAAGGGCAAGGGAGGGAGCCAGGGGGCGTCTAGGTTCTGAAGAATCTTCCAGACCAGCGTCCCAGCAAGTGCGAAGTCTGAGCCCTGAGTGTGCAGGGACATTGGTGCGGAGGCCCTTATGGCCGAGGGGAGGGCAGACCAGGCCAGGAGGGAGCAGGCAGGGCCGCCTGTGGACCCGCTGGGCCAGACTTCACTGGGGGAGGGTTGGCAACAGTGGGACTGGCGCCCTCTGTCGGCCGAGAGAGAACATGTCAGGGAGCCCAGCAGGGGAGTCAGCCCAGACTGAGGAGGCCCCTGCTCCGCGGAGCCCCTGCTGCTCTGGGGGGACAGGTGTGGGCGCTCCTTAGGCCTGTTGTCTGTCCTCCCCCCTAGGCCAACGAGGGTGTGCCCATCTCCATTGGGGACAGCGTCT